TAATTCCTAAATAATCTACTGTTAATTTTCCTGTATCATCTTCTTTTACTAATTCTGGATAAATCTTTTGTACTTCTTGTGCAATAAATCCATATTTTTTATTATCACAATCTTTTTTATAAGAATAAGATACTCCTACTAGAGATAAAATTCCATTAAGAGAATTATGTATTTCTTCAATATCAGTTTTACTTCGTGCATCTGACCGTACTAAAAATCCATTTTCTGCAAATATTTCTCCAAGTACATGTAATTGTCGGAGATTTTCATTAATCTTTTCAATCTTAATGAAATCTTCTGCTGTTATTTGGTAATCTCCCCTTGATGGAATTTGAACAATTTGTGGCATTTCATTTATACCTATGTCTTGTTTTATTGCTTGCATTTCAATTCCAACAGATGGTCCAGAAGATGATATTGGAACACTTTCTATTGATCGACTCGGTGTATTTTCATTATTAATAACACTATTTGATGATGAATTAGTATGAATTTCATTATCAAATGATTTTGAATTAGGATCAAATGCAAATGGATATTGTGATTTCCCATCATTATCACCACCATTATTATTTATTATTTGATTTCTTTTAATTTTTGTTGGTGGATATTTATCTATCAACTTAATCATATAATCCTCACACATTCTTTTAATATCATCTTTTTGAGGAGATAACTTAAACGTTGTTAATAATAAATTCTTTGGATTCTTTCCAGGTTTACTAAGTTCTGTCCGTAAATGTGCATCCCAAATATGTGCATAACAATTGTATCTTGTTTTGGGCGTTTCTTCACATTCAGGAAATGTACATTTCCAATTTTTCATTCTTTGGTTTTGTGTTCTTGGAATTTGTTCACTTTTAACAAGAACAAGAGGAGGTGATAATTGACTCATTTCAACAAAAGCTTTTCAATTTTCTAGTTTTGTTCTTTTAAGATTTATTTGTTTTATATAACGTAAATATTCATTAAAACAAAAAAAAAAGAAGAAGAATGAGTTATTCAATATAAATGTACTCATCTTTCCTTATATCTGATCTTGAGATATATTCTCTCTCAATGAGAGATTCAATAGTTCTCTTTACTAAAGGAATTTGTGGTCTAAACCTACTTGATAATGAAGTAACTACAGCTTGCATTAAATCATTGTGTTGCATTTTTCTATTCTTTTTCATTAACCTAACTATACAAGCCTCAATCAGTCCTACTCTTTCTGCAGTGATTTCTCTTTCTTCTTCTTTTTTTTCTTGTTTAAAAACTACAGCCTTAGGAACAGGAAGAACGAATTTGGTTTTAGGATATGTAAATGTATTATTGATTTTAACAATATTTCCACCTTCAATAGTAACTAAGCCAACTGTTTGTAAAGAAGTAATAATACTTTTTATAATATCCATTGTTAAATGAATATTATTAAATATTTCATCAATGGTAATTTCATTTTTTTGATTAAATAATACAAGAATACTTAATTGGTAAGCACTACCAAATAAGTTGTATGTTTTATTAAAACAATTAGTTTTTATTTTACCACGAGTGTATTGATGAAGCCACTGTAATTTTCTTCTTTGGTGTTGTTTGACATACCATTTTTCAAAGAAATATGAGATTTTTTAATTCATCAGGTATTCAAACATAAATTGTTGAGCTCTAATGGCCAAACTGAAGTTTGAAGGACATAACAAAGAAAGGGAAAGGGACATTGACACTGTCTAAGAATGATTAGAAAGAGATTGGGATAATTGAAGATCAGACATCATTTTTGTATCTTATATGAAAACGAAGAAGAAAATTTAACTCTATGTCTATCAAAAACGATATTTTCTTGAGATAAGTCTTCATTATTTCCACGAAGTAACATTCTTTTAGCAATAGTTTTAATATAATAATTTTCAAATATATCTTTGTTTTCAATAAAGTCATAAATACAAAAGATTTGATCTAATTTATTATTTAGCTCATCTACACCAACACATTTCTTTACAATAATATCAGAATATTTAGCTAAATACTCTGGAATTAATATTTCCATTTCTTCACCATTTGCAATTTTAACATTGCTATTAATTACTTCTCTAAATGCTCTTCCAAATCCTGCATTAAATGATGGATGATTTCCAAAACATTCTTGAATTAAATTAATAATATCTTCATAATATTCAATAATTATTTTAATAACTTCAAATGCTTGTTGAATTGACATAATGTATTTTACTTTTTCCATTCCAATTTCTTTACAATACTTTTCAAATACTGAAATAGCTGAATCAATTTGTTCTCCATCTTTTAGAACTGTAAAACATTTTTTTAAGTCACTTTTTTCTCTTGTTTTTAATAAACTTTCCATTTTTTCAATAATAAAATTACATTGTTCTGAAATAAATCGTTTTTGTAAAAATTCTCCAAATTCTCTTTGAACATTTGCAGCAACATAAAGTTGAGATCTTTGTCTTTCTAATTCAGTAATTTCAATTGTTTTTTCTAAAAATTCAGTAATACCATAATTTTTAAAATAATTATTTAAGTCTTCATAATATGACTCAGCAGCTTTAATATACTCTGATTGATAATAGCTGTCATAAATATTTAAATTTATTAATGAAATAGTAACTATTTCTGAATTAGAAAAAGACAAAAATAATGACATTATTCCATTAATTAATTCTCTATTTTGTGTATTATTATCAATTCTTTCTGCTAATAATAAATTCATTGTACTTTTAACAATACTTGTTGAATTGGCTCTAAGAAAATCACACCAAAATAATGACATACAATGTTTAAATACGGGCTCTGAATATTCTCCGTTAATAGCTTTTTGTTGTTTGATAAAAAAACGATCTAAATAAGAAAATACATGTGAGATTTTTTGACATGCAATAAAATATAACTTGTAGTTTGTAATATAAAATCGTAAGAAATCTATCTTTGAATTTATTTTTTGTGTTTCTTTTAACAATATTTTTAATTTCATTACACATTTTTGATGAATTAATTGAAATAATTTTTGTGCATTTCCTTGAGACTGTTGTGAATATAATATGCTTGTAGAATACATGTCCATGTGAGTTTTTGAATCATATGGTTGATTGGATAGAATGGTGTCACAAAATGACGATAACGTTTGAAACATTTGAGAAGGTGTTTGTAAATTCATAATTGAAAAATTAATGTATTTTTTGAGTTCTTAACTGGAAAAAACTTTTTAAAAAAAACCAAAATAACATTCTTTTTAACCAATATTCTTTTTAGTTATTTCATTGTTATTTGTATTTTTTTTTTATTTTCTTTATAATAAAATCATATCAAAAAAATTTGATTTAATAATTAAAGAGAAAAGTTATGTAAAAATATTTTTATTCGTTTTTGATTTAAAAGATATTCGTTTATTGTATACATCTTATTCTAAAATTACTATGAAAAGAGAATAAAGAAAATAGTCAATGAGAAATAATCATTGAAAAGGAAATCAAAGTAGTAAAAATGGTTGTTAGAAGTTGAAATTATGTATGAGAATTATTGTTGAATTACGATATTCTAATGAATACAACTTTTAACAAATTAATATTATTGAACAAAACAATTACTTATTTAATAGACGCATTGTATTTCTTTAAAGAGTATATGTATTTTACAGTTGATAAATTACTATTTATCTATATTTAGTTATATTCATTTAACAATATATTGATGATAATATGATGTTGCCTCCATTGTTAATATTTATTATTGGTTTATAGTATATTATTAATAACATTAAACAATAGAATATAGTATATTCATTTATTATTTTTTCTAACTATTTTAATTCTTTTAAGAAATGAAAGAGAGTTAAATAAACTTATATTCCAAATGAGATGATACTTAAGACTATTTTTAATTTTATTTCACAGTAACATTATAAGGTGATATATAATTCTACAGAACATTATTATTTTAACAGAGTCTTAGATGCAAAAATACATTCACTAAGAAATTTCATTTGAAAAAAAAGAGTATTAAATGAATAGTCATAAATAATATAATATTTGTATAAGAGATGAAGTGTGATATTAAATATGAAACTAACAAAAATAAAATCAAATGATGTGAACAAATAAAAAAATATTGGATAGAATAAGTGATAGAATAATAAGCTCATAAATTGTATTTGTTTTGTCCTTATTATCTCAGTTATAGGAAAAAAAAATTAATTATTTTATAGATACAAGAAGACATTATAAAAATTAAAAATAGATTGAAGGAATAAAGTACATAACTCGTTTTGAAAAATAGTAACTTTAAATTTATAACTTTTGAGTTTTTAAATAATATAAATAATAAAAATTATTTTATTTTAATTTAACGAGTTTAAATTACATCATATTTATCAATTTTAGAATCAATTATCATCTAATTTTATTTTCTTTTGAATATCCAAGGATCAGATATTGTTGTATTTGTTCCAATTATCAGTATTAAAACTAAATATAATTTTTTCACATTCTCTATTTGTTTTTTTTTTCTTTCTCCTTGAATAATCAAGAATTATGTTTTCATTTTTTTTATTAAATCATTTCTCCATTTTATTTGTTTCTTTTGGTATTCTAATGATTTTGTTTTTTATATCCTTTTCTTCTATTGTCTTTACTTTTATTCTTAACTTCTTCTATCTTATTAATTGTTTCTTGAATTTTCCCATTTCTTCTAGTGGTTGTATATACGTCTATTTCTCTAATCTATCAACTTTTACTCATTTTAAATAAGAAAGTTAAGGTTGTTTATAGAAAGGCTAAGATGAATTATTTTTTTGTGACAATTCTTTTTAATTTCTTTCTCTTTAAAATAAGTTCTTGGATCGATGGAAAGAGCTGTGGTGGAAATTGAGATAAGATTACTTTTATGTGTAGTCTTTTTACTTGATGTATACACAAAGACTGTAAAGATAAGGTTGGGTTTGTATTTACTAAAAACAAGAAACAATTGTAGATGAATTGAGAATCCACCTTTGTTTGAAGTGTATTGAATTCTGGCATTGTCGAGATATAAACAGCAGAGTACGTTTTAGTCGAATAATACAAAATTACAGCAGTCCCTTGTTCATTTCGTGCTAAAACAGTAACATCTTTTCCACCAATAAATTTACCTTCATCGTTGAACCAACTCAATGAAAAAGGTACTTGACTATGACAATATCCTTCACTCACATAGGGCAATTCAATATTATTCCAAAGAACACCCTTGCCTGGACTCGTTGGACAATAAGATATTGACTGCTCAAGATTTATAGTTCCGAATTTCATTGTAGGATTAATACCAAAAAGATGACAAATTTTTCTATTGTCATATCCATTTGTTCTTTGTTCAAGGTGTTGAAATAGGGCATAAGTTCCTAATAAATGTTTGCAACCACTATTTTTTAAAAAAGTTTCTAATGCAATGATTTCGTTTGCTGAGAATGAAGAAGGAGATCCAGCTGTATCACTACAAACAATGATATCAGGATTTTGTTTTTGTAATTCCTTGAGTGTAATTTCTTCTTTTATAAATTTTACAGACAACTTAATTTTTGTTTCTCCATATTTTTTCCAGTTTTTATTCAAATCCTTCCAAAAGGACTTCCCTCCAATATGTGAGTGAATGACAGTTACTTTAATTGACTGATTTTTAGTTTTTGAATGAGTCATTTTTTCTTTCTGATAACATTTTTTTCTTTTAAATTATTGTCTTTTCGTTTGTGGTTATCTCTTTGTATGCTAAAATAAGTAAGTGAATAAAGATTTGTTAAAAGAAACCGAAAGATAAGAAGTTTACAATCATTTATTTCTTTCTGAAGACAAAAAATCCCACATAAATGACAACTCCAATAATAATAAGGAAGACAATTGCCATAATAATCAAAAAAATTTTATTAGTAATTGCTCTATAAAGCATTCTTTTTAATGTTTTATTTGATTCATCAAGATGACCATCAATTCTATCTAACTTTCTGCTATCATCTTCTAAGATTTCTCGTTGTTTTTTTAATTCTTGCACAGAATCCATTTCTGTGGAAATAGTATCTTCTAAAATAGCATTAGACATTTCAATATCAAAAGTAGCATCTTCTAATTTCTGAGTTGCACTTAACATTCTATCATGATGAGAACTATCATAAAAGCTCATTCTGGTTTTACTCAACTAAATTTATTATTTAGAGTTCTATTAAATACTAAGTTTGTTCCGAATTAATTTGTCCAATGAAAAATAACAAAAATAAAATGAAGGAAGTTATTTTATTTATTTCGGTGAGCCATTTTATGCTAATAAAGATTTCTTTAATGAAGTCTCCCAAACCATTAAAGCTCTAAAGAATCCCATCAACATTTTTACATTACCGTCAGTAATGTCTTGAGATCCAATACCGGTATTAGTTAATCCAAGTGTTTGTACAGTTTCAACTAATACAGTACAGTTAGTTCTTCTTTGGAAAATATTTAAAGTTCTTCCATTCTTTGGGCGAGCATACATTGACCAATTAATAACGCCGGGTTTAATTTTGTCAATAACTTGACAAATAAGAAGACCATCATTAAATGAAGTTTTAAAATCACCAACTTCAATTCCAAATCTACTAAACCAATCGATAATTAGTCTAAAATGATAAGTATTTTATAAGTTTTTTTTTATGACAATAGAGAATTAGAAAGAGAGTAATAAAAACAAACTTCTCTTCAAGATTAGCAACATGATTTGGTTGAGGAAGAGATTTAACAATAATTTCTTCTTTCTTATTATCTTCTTCAGCTCTTTTAGCTGCTACTTGTTTACGTAATTCTTCTAATGTTTTATCCATTTCTGATGTATCATGAATAAGTTTATCAATAAATATTTGTTTATCTTTAACAAGTTCAGTATTTTCTTTTTTACTATTTTCGATTTCAATAACCTTAGTATCCAATGCATTAAGAGTTTTATTTTTCTCTTCAAGATCATTACTTAACTTAGTTTTACTACTTTCAAGTAAACTTTGAATTTCTTCATATTTCCTTCAACATGTTCTTCAGATTCTATTTGTTTCTTTGACTTTTAGTACATCTACTTCATGTTGACATTATTAATAGCT